CGGAGCTGGATTTGGTAGGCCCGGTGGTGGTTCCGAGTTGATGGCCGGCAGGGATGGCCAGTTGATCGTTGTTTCCGGTTTCGGAGGATTCAGAGTTGGCGTCGTAAATCGGAACACCGCATTGGGGTTGGCGGTCACAGCTGCGGTGTCCATCGTCTCCATCGCAGCGGTTAGGTCTAGCAATGCACCGGCTCAGATCGCTTTAGTGCTGGCTCTTTGGGTGCGGAAATTCGGCATGTTGGCCCCCGGTATGATATACCCTGGTCACATACCCGCCGAAATCTACACTTTGAAGCAATGGTCGGTATACTTCTGTCTTAAAACGGAGTCAAGAAATTCGAAAATTTCCAGAGCGGTCGAAAGAGCAGGTCGTCTCAGTCGGGCTTCGCCAAAGTTAATTCATCAAAACTGGCTTTTCGATAACTCTGGCGCGAGGAACTCCAGCTCTTTTGACGATAACACCAGAGAAGGCTCAGAAACATTGTTCGCGGCGTATTTGATTTTAAACGCCTCAATGATTTTTCGCCCACACTTATTTCTGTGTGTTTCAAACACAGTGGTGTTTTCAAAGTTTGGGGTGCAATCGTGGTAGGTACGGGCATGCACGACTATGGCGTGAAATGAGTCCGATGATGGCTTGGTGACTTCTTAATGGTTCACCCTGAGGCGAACATTTAGGCATCTCCCAGTTTGGCCGATGTATTGGCCTCCGCAGCTCAGTAGAATTGAATAGATTGGCTTCTCTTTACATTTAACATACTTGTTGGAGTGCTTGATAACGCATTCGGGTGGTCGACTCTCGTTGTTCACCCTCTTGCACATTTGTTTTAACCTCCTTCTGCAAGTGAAGACCACCTTCGTGTCAAACCTAGCTGCAAGAGTCTTCAGGCGGTGGGCGGTGTTCTGCACGTATGGAACGCAAACCGGACGCGAATGACTATTTTGTTTCAATGGAGGACGGATGGGGCCCTTGACGAGACGCTGAAGGGTTGTACGAAGGAGGTCGGCTGGATAACTGCTTGGAGCAGGCGGTTATGCTGTCGCAGGACATTTTCAGATGAGAGGTGTGAACAGGATTTCGAGCGAGAAGAGGCAAACAAGGTTCGAATGATTCTAAGCTTTACCGACTTGGAATGGTTACTGCAAAACGGAAGAACGTTTTTTTTTTTTTTTTTTTTTTTTTGATCGTTGCTGGAAGCTTTAGCATAGACCTTGAGGATGAAGATGAAGTTTTAAATCCAGGTACTGTGTGAAGACAAGTTTTTCATCTACAGAGTGGTGTCTGGTGTGAAAGGTGAGCTATCAATTGGTCTAAAAAGCACGTAGTTTTCACTTGTAGAGTTGAAAAGCCTGTCTTTATTCTCCTTTGGCCCGAAGCCCATGCTTCACTGTCCTCTTAAGCACGAATGGAGGTCTTTGACGTCATTTTCGTTGCGTGTGCTCGCGCACACCGGGGGCTGCTGGCTCGTGGAAAGAACATGCGCCACTTATTATGGACGCTATAATCTTGGGTTCAGTATCCCTTTAAGCGCCAAGTGTTTGTTAGCACGACTACGCCCAGAGCCGCATATGTAGAGAGTTTGTCCATTCGTCGGAAAGTATAGGAGACAAATGAGGACGTGCCATTGGCCGAAAGCGGGCTGGGGTGTTCCAGGGCGTCCAGAAATTCGAGTGTGACCAACCAGAAGCCGGGAAAAATACCCTGGCGGTGGCCGCGAGAAACAAACCTGATAAGAGCATCGGAGTAACTCTCGGTGACTGAAAATATGGTACACGTGATGTTTCAATCACGGTCATCCAAAATGATGGAGGAAGAGTGCGACTAGCGGAACGATCGACATAATCCTTACGCCAAGCGCCGAGGGCCGGGAATCTGCCGTCCGAGCGGTCACACTCTGTCTGAGCAAAACAGAGCTGAGCGTCGCATTCGTTTCTTACATCTTTCTGCATGATTATGATCGAAACATCACGTGCACCCTATTTTCAGCAACAAAGAGTAACTACACTTCACACTTACGCGCTTATTAAAGCCATATACGAACATACACCTTTGATCAGACTGTTTCTCGCTACCACCGCTAGGGGATTCTTTTCGGCTTCTGGTTGGTCAAGAGAGCGTGCCAAGCCCTCTTTCCGAGTCTAGTGCACGCCCTGGCTCTGCCCGTGCCTCCCATTGACCAAACTCTCTCAATACACGGCTCTGAAGTTACTGGCTATATCCTTTATACTGGGTGGTAGCTTGCACCACCTAGTCGAAGAAAGAGAAATGTTTGATCATAACCTCCGAGATCCCGAAGCGCGCGAACGCTTCTCCTGCCGTCCCATTCGTGCGGAGAGGGCGTAATCGGAAAAAGAGAAGGAAGTGGCGTGTCTCTGCGGGGAGGCGCTCCCAACCCAGTCATCGATAGCAAGGCGCGAGGCAGAAGAGTTCAAGTAAAGGTCTTGTTACGTCGAGTTACTGTAAGTCCTACTTACAAATGTTTGTGTATTGTGGTAGACCGGTGAACAGCTGTTCTGGGAACGTAGATAGACCACCACTAAACAATAGCGCAAGGACGACGGAAGGAAGAACGAGGAGACAGGAAAGAGCGCTAACTGACAACTGGCGTTTTATTTACAAGGGGAAAGGAGACGAAAAGTAAATAAAACGCCAGTTGTCAGTTAGCGCTCTTCCTGCCTTTCGTTCTTCCTTCCGTCGTCCTTGCGCTATTTTTTAGTGATGTTTACCCAACTCGCCCATCAGATGATTATAATGTAGATAGACGTTAGACCAGTTGTGATGCTTACTTAATTATTTTATTTGAGATATTCATCTGGACATGTTGCGGCTAGCGCTACAAGCGCGCCTTGTGATATATTTGACTGGCACATAAAAAATTATGATTTCCCTAAATAAAAACAATCATGCTGTATTTTTTTTCAATTCTCCGCACGTTGTTTGGCGTAGCTTTTTGAACCTCAACACGAGGTTTGTTTCTTATAATATATTTTTTTAATATGTATTATGCAATTTTGCGGGACGTGTTACGGTGTTTGTTTCAACTCTGAAATGAATGACCATCTACACGCTGTATAAATATCCACACAAACCCAATTAATATTATATTTGACTATATGTGTAAATACGTGCCCTATAATAGCAGTCTGCAACGTCAACATGCATTATACTTGTGAATTGGGCTATTTTAGCCCAGTGTTCGCGCCATGAATTCTAAAGAAAAACGCTCTGACACCTATCTTTGTGCATCCGATTGTAAAACGTTCCAAACTTTTTATTCTGTGACAACACTAAGCAACATTTTGCTCTCATAATCGAGCGCGAAGAGAAAACGCACTTGCGTTTTCCAATTTGCGCATTACCGGAAGTCAAACTTGGAAGACAAAAAAATGTGTTGCCTGTATGTTTATACAGCGTAGAACTTGGTCTGCCTCAAAGGGCGAAGAGTCTCCCAGCTGTAGATGAGCAATTTAGCCAGTGCAGTGGAACCGCTAGCCTGGGGTCTTTACCTTGCACCACGCAGTAGTGATACACGACCACACGCCGGTACGATGCTCATCCGGATCGAAACGGGCAGGGGTGGGAAGTTTAGAGTAGTTGTTGTCTGCTTCAAAATGCAACAGCGCCACCTAGCACCACCTGAACTTCTAGCGTTTATCGTTAATAACTGTATGGTTGCGCCCGAAAGATGGCCGTAAAAAACGTCAACGAGCAAGGACGACGCCTTCCTTGGCGTCGTCCTCTAGGCGTCATCCTTGAGGTCGTCCCAGAGGTCATCCTTGAAGTCAAAGTCGTCGTAGACGTCGTTCTTGAGGTCGTCCGAGAGGTCGTCCTCGGCGTCGTTCTAGACGCCTTTCTTGACGTTGTCCTCGTCCTAGAGATCATCCTAGAAGCCGTACTTGGCGTCGTCCTCTAGGCGTCATCCTTGAGGTCGTCCCAGAGGTCATCCTTGAAGTCAAAGTCGTCGTAGACGTCGTTCTTGAGGTCGTCCGAGAGGTCGTCCTCGGCGTCGTTCTAGACGCCTTTCTTGACGTTGTCCTCGTCCTAGAGATCATCCTAGAAGCCGTACTTGGCGTCGTCCTCTAAGGACGTCGTCCTCGACGTTTTCCTAGACGTCGTCCTGAACTTTAATACATGTAAAAATATTTTTCGAAAACACTTCTCCCTCGGCACTATAATGTGTTCGCCTTCCAATACGTAAGGAGTCTTGAGTGTCCTCCTGTAATTTTTTACTGGAGCATTTGTTTAATGAATTCGACGTGCAAATACCGTTTACTAAGCCAACCCATTACCAGCTTCGAGCCAAAACCTTCATACACCTAGAAGTTAAAAAATAATTACATTTCGATGTTTCAAAACTTTCTGAGTGCGAAGTTTGTCTTTGTTTGCTTTAATAGGAGCGTGTATTCGTCGGCACCTGAAAAAAGCTTAATCTCGTTGGTTAACCTACATGCTGCTTTGCCCGAATCGGCAGCGGTTGACCGACAAGCCACTTGAAAAACTCCTCCTCTTTAAATGTAATTAAATGTGGCAACCAAATCATGTTCTTTTTTTTTTGTTACCTTATAAAAGCTAGAATACCATTTTAAACTAAAATGATCCGATGGGCGAGTTATTTAAACATAATACACACTGCAGCGCAAAAGGACAAGGACGCGTAGAAGACATTTTTCCTTGTCCTGTCTACGTATTTTACTTGTCCTTGTCCTCTGCGCTGCAGCATCCGCAGTTTGTACCGGAGGGCCCATCGTACGGCATCGGATGTGCAAAAAACGGTTTCCTAAAGCTTTCTAATGAGGTGATACCGTGACCGTGGGGCGCGCTTAAAAACGTGCTTCAAAGGCTCTGGTAGGAACACGGTAAAAGTTTGCTAAATATCCCTTTTGTCAGAGTATGCAGTGGAAACTTCTGTTCTATGTTGTACAGAGCTTCGGTTCGAAATCAGAATCAACCATCGGACCACCTGCGCAATGATGCGGACATTCAGGGTCTTGTATAAAGTGGGGGAAAAAAAGTAGTCCTTTTTATTTATGAGGTGCAGTACGCCGGTTCCCGCCGCGTAGAAACTTTGGAGAACTCAGTGGTCCGGAGCATCTAGAGCCTGTCTCCAGATGTCCGATACGTCGCCGACGTCCGATTTGAAGAGCGGTTCGAGGTTCACGTGGGCGAAGTACTTCAGTCGGTGGCTGAAATAGAACAGAAGTAAGTTTCGTAAGCAGACAGGATTGATGGCGGGCGTAGCCTCATTGTTCGGGATATTCAACTCTCCTATACTTCAGACCGAGTTGACACTACAAGATTCCGAGTACGGGGATTACGGTTTTGTAAAAAAAACTTGTAGATTATTCATCACATGCGCCTACAAAAGGGGAGCACCAAATAATGAGGTCTAGAAATAGCGTGTTTTCAAAAACCAGAAAACGCAAGATTATGAGAACGCGAGATGTCATGCTCAGTTTCGCACTGCAGATAACATTTTCGTGTGAAGACGTCTTCAAAGACGACAATTTGACAGGTTCCATCCGCAGTTCGTAGTGATTGGCTATTTCGTGTGTTTGGGGGAAACTAGACGTGCTAATTTTGGTCGCAAGCAATGTCTACAATGACCCAGAAAATGCGGTATATATAGCTTATACAAAACTAAAAGAGATGGGGTGTACTCACTGATCTCAATGACAATTGCTGGATCGCGCTTCCCCGCTTGTTCGCTGCAGCGCGAGTGAATCCACCGGATGGCAACCTTGCTGGGGTACTATTTGCGGTTTTGCTAGCCTTTTGCTGCGGTTTTCCAGCGTGCTCTAGGCACGTTTTCTACTCGTTCGTAGTCATTCGCCGAAGAAGCTTTTTAAGACTCAGTTCACCGTTGAGACTTGCCGTTGTGAACGCGTAGAAAATATTACGAAAGCGCAGTACCGCAGGAACAAGGCACAACTCGTCGAAAGCAAGTTTCGCCGGTCTGGCGGCGTGTTTAAAGCTTCCTTGGCACGCCGAAGTGCCGTGTCTCTGTGCTTTCGCACGCTTGGTTACCGACCAAGAATCGGCGCCGTGTGAATCTGTTTTGCGAGTGCAATGTGCGTGAAGCCGTATGTGCCTCTGGAACAGCGTCTTACTTTACTTTGACGGCTGTACGTTGCGATGGTGCGGCGTCGATTCTTGATCGACATCCAAGCGTGCGAAGGTACAAAGATGCAGTACTCGACGTGCCAAGGAAGCTTTGATCACGCCGCGAGACCGGCGACACTTGCAAGTTTCGCCGGTCTGGAACAACTCGTCGAAAGCATGCTTTCGACGAGTTGTGCCTTTTTCCTGCGACACTGCGCTTTCGTAAAATTTTCCACGTGTTCACAACGGCAAGTCTCAACGGTACACAGAGTCTTAAAAAGCTTCTTCGGCGAATGACGACGAACGAGTAGAAGTGACGTGTACTTATCTACACCAATAACATGGCATCTAATATATCCTCAAAGATCTCATCTTTTGTGGATGATTGCGTAGTATACCGAGAAGTAACCAATTCCTTTGATCTAATCCAACTTCAGAATGACATAAACGCCGTACCTCTTTGGTGTGGTACGTGGGCAACGGAACTGAACGCTAACAAATGCAAATCTATGCGCATATCCCGAACTTCACAAAATAGCCCAGATTACAATATACAAGATGTTGCGTTCCATTCGGTTTGGAAGTACAAGTATAGATTACGTTACTCCATATAGATTACGTTACTAACAACGGAAGACGCATGCTGGGCTATTTGAAGAAACAATTTTCATTGGCCCCACAGTCATTAAAATGTATCCTTTACAAAACACTAGTTAGACCTAAGCGGCTGCTATTTAGGACCCAGGTCAGAGTGTACTAATTGTATCAGTTGAAGCCATACAAAGAAGGTGGGTTCGTTTCATTTGTTCTAATTATCATCAAACACCGAGTGTTTCCTCGAAAAAGCCAATGGTTCGCTTCCAGATTTATCACTTCACAGAAAAATCGCTCGTCTATGCTTATTCTATAAAATATATTATGTGAATGTTACACTGCGTGAAAGACTCATTGTAGTTCTTTTTTTTATGTCTCATTATGGCTTGATCATCAGCCTAAAGTTGAAATTCGTAACACTCATGTCAATGCTCTGTATCAATCGTTTATTCCATGCAAATCCCTGGGGGCACCTTCCCGCCACAATCGCTTCAATTACTGACAGTGTTCTTTTTAAGAAGGCGTTAAATGGTTGTTTGACCTGATTTCTTTTTCTGTTTCAATGTATTTTTCAAATGTGTATTTACTGCTAACATTTGTTTTTCCCACTCGCCCTCTGTAAGGCTTATGTCTTGAAGGTAAAATAACTGGAAATGAACGACTGAGTTGGAAAGGTCTCTAAAATAGGAAAATGAAGGTAATTCAGGGACAATATTTACACGTAAAAGAAAATAGTATTCTTCAGAAACACCACTTAAAAAGAAAGATCAGCTGTCTCGCCGAAACCTAGGGCTATCGATGCCGAACGTGTATACGAGCTTGTCCCCACGATGATGTCGCTTTCACTTCATAGACATCTCTAGTTCTTTGGCCACTTAACTAAGTTTCAATACATTTGTCAAAAATTCTTCATAGTTTAGATGTAAATCTTGACTGCATCTTGTAATTTATGTTAATTGGTATATTCCCGAGAAATAGTAATTCGTAAAATTTAAAGTTTTTAAATGAACAACACGCTCAGAGAATAACACTGCAGTAAATTCTACATGCCTATAATATTACTTCGTAACTTAAAATGCCCTTAACACCTTTTTTTCTCTTTATAACAACCTTACTAAACGTCAGTTGTTAGTTCACCGCTCGTCCTGTCTATGTCCTTGTCGCCTCGATGTTTATTATACATAACCAACTTGCCCAGCAGATCATTTTGGGGCATTCTCATTACTTTTGAATCAGCCCTCGTATTTACTGTCATTCCCTGCAGGTTAAGTTTTAGCCCTCTGGCAATAGCACGACATGTCAATTGTATATAAAAAAAAACTAATGCTTCGGTTCCTTGGTGGTTCCGTGTTTTCTGATAAATCCGAAAAACTCCGAAAAAGACTCGCCGATAAATTTTCCGTCATTTCGGATTTATCCAAAAGCTCCGAATTTCGAGATCATAGCGACAACCTAAACACCAAAAAAGACGGAGTTTTACAACTCATCTTTATAAGAACACAAGGTCAGTGGTCCTGAGAAAATTCCACTTTAGTTTCCTTTGAAATTTAGAACTACTGAAAAAAAAAGGGGGGGGGGGGGGGGGGCTCGCTTTTTAGCACGTCGAGGTTTTCTCGTGACAACGGGTCATGGTACCCGGACCTTATTTATTTTGTTTTTGAATTTCTAAAATTTTACGCAGTGAAATAAACTCCGAATTTCAAAGAATTAATATCTAACAAAAATAAACTCCGATAAACCCCGGATCCCCAGCGAAAAATAAACTCCGAAAAACACCCTCCGAATTACACGAGAAATAAACTCCGAAAACACGGCCGGAGTCCTAGTCATACCTAAGCAAAAATGGCCATACCTAAAATATGTCTCTGGCTCGGTAAATCTAGGTACATTCGTTGATGCACCGAGACTAAGAGACTAAGGTGTAGCAGCTCCTACACTCGTTGTCACAACAAGAAGAAATGCGAGTCTTACGATGCGCGGTGAGAAGTACAGTTCTTACGAGACTTGGCAGTCGAAGGGAAAAAACGATGCTTTTCACGTTTTAAGCGTGCACGCCTCGTTAGAATGACAAAGTTAATCGAGGATGCACCTACATATATCTTGAGTCTACGTCGCCTGCCGGAGGCCTGCACTTAAACGAAAACTAAATGGGTTCTTGAAAAACAAAGAGTTAGAGGTGAATTTTAAAGTATTTATGTTCGGCGAATCTGAATATCGCGTTCTTTTTTTTCCCCACTACTGCTGCTTTCATGGTCTCGCCTTTACGTCTCGCTTTTTGGCAAAGTTACCCTCGCCGATAGCGCATTCCAAATGTTAAAAAGACACGGCCAATGCGTGATCCCAACAAGGAGCAAGGACCATGTCAAGCTGATTTATCAGTTTTTTCTCTTCGGCCTCTCCCCATTTTTAGTTGAATGGGAAAATAAACTATTTGATTTGAACTTCGGGGCTCCGGGGAGACACCCGAGGGCGCCGACCCAACTCACAAATCGGGCTTGTCGAAGGCCCCCTGGGGCGCCGGGAAGAGAGCCTCGTACTGCCTGTTCTCGCCGCAGCCGTGGATGGCGTACGCGTTGAGCTTGTCGGGAGTCGCCGGGAAGTAGGAGACCGGCACCCGGGCCTCGCCCCGCCACCGGCCGCCCTCGACGGTCGCGTTGAATTCCAGCGGGAGCGAGTGCTGCCGGGGAAGCCACATCGAACTCTATACGGCCTGCAAGTTCGTGTGCTCTTTGCGCACTTCGTTTACCCCCCAAACGCCGCCCTCGTGATTTGATTTCCCCCGACATGCGACGATTCATTCGTTTAAAGGATCCTGCGGCACGCACGCGCGAGCCATAGCAGGTCTGGCTTTACGTATTGTACGTACAATTTGAACGGTGGAAAAAAATTACGCCCGAGGAAGCAGCGACGCGTGCTTGGCGGCTTCGTCATCGCGCGTTCCCTTCCCGTTGTTGTCATCTGATTGGCAGGCTCCTCCTTGTTTTCCGATGGGCGAAAGACGCACTTCGGAGCACTTGATCGCCGTATTCGGGTCGCGTGCAGTTTCCCCGGTGTTTGCTCCGGAGGGCGAGAACGTGTATCCTTTCTTTCGCCATTGCACACTCCTCGTTGCCAACCGTACGTTCAGAGGCGGAAGGACATTACACCTAGAGGATAGAAAATCCTGCGCACCCCGCGCACTGTTTTTTTTTTTTCTTTTCACATTTACACGAACTTAGTTAAAGCTTTCCGTAAAATAAACCCTGAAAACGCGGGTTTCTTTCTACCTCACTAGCTGGGCGCAGTGCTGCAAAAGCTACGGGCGAGAGAAAGAGGAAAGCCTCTCTTGTACGAGTCCTGAACGACGGGCCAATCTCGGGGGGAGAACAAAGCGGGTTCGCAAAGGAGAGTCCGGATAAAAAGGGCCTTCTTTCTCCCCCTCTTTTCAACCGCTCGGGTTACGCTCTCGCCCCTTTGGCAATGCTGCGCGTAACTATGCCGAGAGGAAGTCGTCTGCTTCACGCGCAGGGGTTGCGTTGACGTCAGAACGACGGCGAGTTCTCATTGGTTTGGGTTGGAAGGATCGTGGCTAAATCTCAATGCCTCAAAATCTACCCACTGTCCCTTTCTATTTCAATCAGCCAATCAGAGCTCGGCGTTCTGACGTCATTGCGACCCCTGTGCAAGAAGCAGACGAACTTGCGCTCCGCATAGGCCTGCTTCAGAAGGGCGCTGCCATCTTGAAATATCATGTTTTGTCGTCGTCACGCCCTAAGAATACATTTAGGATATAAGCGTAACCGTCACACATTTTCGTTTTGTCTCCCTTTTTCTTTTTTTTTCAGCGTATCCAGGTTGAAATGTTTTAATGTTTTTTTCGTCGCCCATACCGGATATGTCCACCAGGTGGCTGGGGGCGAAAGTGAGCGAAAACAGGCCTATAGATACCTGACGTGTCCATGCCATGCCTTCGACTATACCGCGGCGTAGGAGGACACGTAAGGGAAATTAAAATGCGCAGTAAAGCGGAGGCGTACAACACCAAAACCGGAGAGTTCGGACGATTGTTCGCAATTTCTAAAGGTGAGCCCCTAAATATGCGAATAAAATTATTAATTCCACCAATTTGCGGAAAGTTATTTTATTCCCTATTCCTCCAGCTTAAGCTTTTCTTATTCAAAGACTAGAGCAATGAGGTTTTCTGGTTCTCGCGAATTTCAATAATAATAAAAAAAAAAGAAAACAGTTTCGGGGAATAATTCTCGCTGTTTCTTGGTATGTACCAAAAATATGCAACCCTAGGGCAGACCAGATGTGTGAGACCAGTCGCACGCTTACCTTGATGGCGTTGCCTTCGCCCTTCAAGAGCAAGACAAGATGCTGCCCATGCCTGAAAGAAAATACAACTAGCTCGCACAATCCCCTTCCCTGCCCCATTTTCTTTTTATGCGAGTCCACTTTTGAAATGCAAAAGAAACAAATCGGGATCTCTGAAAACACTTGCCGCTACCGCCATGTTACTAAGTTAGGACGGTGTATAGAAGCTACTGTTGGATTAACTGCTTACAGTTACACAGGGCGTCAAACCAACGACGTAAAAAAGGGCGCTTGGAACGAAGAAATGATTTCTTTGGGATATTGTAACGACTGCACCGGACGTCAGGTATAGAACGTAAAGTGATGACATGGAAACATATTTACCTAAAATACAATAATTTCGTCCTTTTTAATTATCTGCTTCACTGTAGTTCGAAATTTGCGTGTCCCATTGTCAAAATATGCTAAAGCTGCTGCGATGTTGCAAATGCGAAATCGCAAGTAAAATTGCGCCATGCGAATCAGGCACTAGGCTGTCTAGGATGTGGCATACTAAAGCTCAGAGGAAAAAAATGAATTCGGAGAGACGAGCTTTTTTGAGGTGTGAAACCTCGTGCCACCTGGTGAAAAACAGCGCACAAAACAGCGCAGCGCTGCGCGGGTGAAAACAGCGCAGCGCATTTGTGCTCTGTCCTTTGTGCCCAAAAGAAAACATCAGGCTGCCCTGTTGTCCTGTCCTTTGCGCGCTGTTTTTCATCATGTCGTCCCAATACCATCTGGCCCACCTCACAACATTGCTCATGCCACATATCGGCTGGGAAAGCTACCAGCTGGTGGTAAAAGAGAATAAATTTGTCCTTCGTCGTGGCACTCTGGCCAACGGTAGTATAATAAAGCAATAACGTTTTTTAGTGTTTTTGTGTTTTTTTTTTAGTAGTAGTGTTTTTTCTAGTAGCGTTATAACATAAAAGTATATAAAAATAGTAGTAGTGTTGTTTTTTCTTTGCGTTCTTTAGTGGGCTGCTCGCTGGGTCGGTCTTCTGTCCAGCTGGTAGAAGTGTCTTGGCAAGGTCTCGAGGGTGATGTCCGGAGGCTTCACCGTGCGTTGGGGCTGGAGAAGCCCTGCTGGATGGGGGACGACATACATGATGAGGACGACACGTTCTTCTGAACAGCCGCACGAATCTTGGAGGTTCGGCGGCGATACAGGCGGCCAGCGAGAGATGACCTTCGGCGGGCTCTTCGTTGTCCGTTCTGGATAGCCCTGGCGGTTGATGGTGCGGTTGCTCGCTTCGGTGAAGGAAGCGGCTTCAGGAGGTCGAAGTAGACGGCTGCCACCCCCGATGCGTTGATGTCCAAGGATGGGACGTAGCGCAGCGGTCACCCTGTATGCCTTGCTGTCGTCGTCGTCCTCAAGAAGTGTCTGCTTCTTCCTCCACCGACCAGAACGCTTTCGTACGGCCATGTGACCCGATCGGCTCGCCTGACTCGCTATCCGCTGCGGAGGCTGACGTCGCTTATAGCCGATTCACACGACGGACCGAATCGCAGTTTTCGTCCGCGGACCGTGTACCACGTGACCGTCACGTCACCGATTCTTGCAGTCCGCGCCTCGTTCGCGAACACAAAAACTAATAACGTAACCTCAACGAAAAAAAAAAAAAAGTGACGCCACAATTTTGCATTAACCCAACTGCCACACACACAAAAAGAAAAATCGTCCCAATATGCAAACAAACGACCAACAACGCTCGCCGACCCAGCGAAACCAGCTTTCTTCTAGAACTAAACAGCAACGACCCTAGCGTTCCTCCGCCATGCCACTTATTCGCAGGCAAGTTCATTTCTCAGACAAATTAAACAAAAAGGTTGCGTGCTACTTGTCACTCTAACTGAACGAAGATCTAGCGGAGAACGCGTCGACAAGAACATCTACTTACGGACAGAACTCCAGTTCAAGATAGCGATCGTATTCTCCAAGAATGAAAAGCTCCACCACTGCATAAAATCAAGAAAGAGGTTCGAAATTATAGTTTCGGGTTGAATTCAACAGCTCGTTTATCATTATCATCCATTCATTCGCGACGTAAAAAGGGGGGGACTACATTGTTATTATAATCTATGCACGCCGTGAAGGGAAAGAGTGGATGTTGCTTCGACGCAGGACAGAACCCACGGTTAGTTTTCTATGCACCGAGGAAGTTATGCGGTTAAATGCAGTTATGCCGTTAAATGCAGCTAACAATTATTATTATATTTAGTAATGGACATACATTTATACAATATTTGTAAAAAGAAAGTTACGCTTCTCTTTACAATATTACTTGAAGTGTTTAGCAGCAAAGATGATCACTCCGGCGGAAAACGTAAATTCAAGTTTTCATGGTCTACGATTTTTTGTGACTTGAGATACTCTTCTTTTGGGGCGAAATGTTTTGTTTATTTATTTATTTACTACTGATAAGGTAATAAACAGATATTAGGGGAATAAAAAATTGAAAGACGTTTACAAATCTCTGTAATGCGAAATTAGAGCGCAACTCTTGAGGAGGAGGAGGGGAGGCTATGCTCTTCCTCCTCTCCTCCTTCCTTCCTCCTTTCCTGCTCCTCCGTACCTCGCCCTCCTCCTTCTCTGAACCCTCCCCTCGTCCTCCTGCGTACCCTCCCATCCTCCTCCTCCATACCCTCCCCTCCTCCCGCAGTTTCTCTGCTAAATTTAGCTGAAAAATTTACGTGACCTCAACACGAATTCAGTTACCCGGCTGAATTTAGCGGGAAATTGAATCGTTCTTGAGGCCACATGACGTCAATTTTCCCGCTAAATCTAGCGCGGTTACGCTGACGGCGACGCCGCGAGACACGGAAACGGGCGCCTAACCGCTCATTCACACTGGAAGCGGATCCGCGTTCGCAAAGCGGTTGCGAACGCGGTTGTATAAAGATCCAGTGCAATTGCAGGCGCACTCGATGACATCAAGTGCGCGTGCAATTGCACTGGATCTTTATACACCCGCGTTCGCAACCGCTTTGCGAACGCGGATCCGCTTCCAGTGTGAATGAGCGGTAAGAGCTGGGCCCTAAAAATGTCGACCAGCCTCCATTTTGGTCTAACTGAAATTACCCAGGAAAGGTGGGAGACGCTTGTCGACAATCGTCGTCACTTCCCCCACGCAGCTTGTATTGCGAACGCGGCCCTTTCACTACGTAACCCCGGTCGATCAGTTGGAAACACTATCAAACGCACACCTCAAGTGTATACACGTTTGCAAGTCCGGCTTCAGGGCGCTGCCATCTTGCCTGTCTGGGGTGCGCTTGGACCGGTCATAATCCGATTACGAAGCATTGCTAAGGCGTCGTAATCGGATTATGGCCGCTCCCGAGAGCGCACCCCACTGAGGAAGATGGCGGCGCCCTGAGACCGGACTTGCAAACGTGCAAACGTGCGCCTAAATTAGAGTGTGTCTCCAACCGGTCGTTCAGGGTCACTTGGTTTCCGGGCCGCGCTTGCAATACGAGCTGCGAGAAAGGTGCCAGAAGCGTTGATCGCCTGCAAGTGTCTCCGTCCCCCCGCCCGCTTTCCTCCTTGCGACGCAACGCATGTGCCCTCGTAATCAATCTGCACCGGAGGAGGTTAGAGAAAGCGTCCGCCATTAAATTGCAAACTCCCTCTGCGTCGACCGCGTTGCGCTGCGTTGTGTCGTGCAGCACCGTGCCTGCCCATTGGCTAGTCGCAAGTGTCGCCATAGCAACTCGTACGTCGCAAACCGTTGGAGTTGCACTCAGTCGGACTCGACGCGAGTGTGTGAATAGCCCTCGAGTGCGAACAAGTGCGACTGCAACGGCTTGCGACGTTACTCCTTTTACGGGTTGCTATGGCAACAGCTCCATCGGCTTCGACAGAACGCGGTAAAAACCGGCTTTGTTCGAGCGGACGCAGCTGTTGCCATAGCAACCCGTAAAAGGAGTAACGTCGCACTCGGTCGGGCCCACGCAAGAAGCAGACTTCAGCTGTCTACGAGTGTGCAGCGAAAACTGGCACGGCGGCCCAAATGCAAAACGAAGTACTGAATGCGCGGGATTCGAGTTGCCGGTTCACCTTCGTACTCCCAGAGACCGAACAGCGGCTGGCCCTCGGTTCCGGCGGGTGGAGCCGGGTCGTCGAAGAAATCGGCTTCTAAGGTCACCGGGATGACCCTGTCCTGCTCCTGGTGCAAATGGACCCTCGCGTGCCCGTGGGACAGGGGACGGTTGTCCCAGGTGGTGCCGATGTCCACCGTAACGCTGCGAGAGAACGGAGACGCCGATTGTCTGAAAGGGTTGCTTTGGACTCGATTGCAGGTTAAGGGGGCCGTGCAACGATATCGCCTAGGAATGTTTCTCACTTTACACACGCTTACCGGCACTAGTGGGACCCAAGTGTACTCGAACGAACGACCAAGAAGCTTCTTTGTGGCCGCGTAACTTCAAGGAGAAACGCGGACGTTTTCTTTCAGTCTCTCCTTTGCAAAACTCAATGACGAAGTCGACGTTGCCAACAATGCGATTCCCAGAATTGCGTCACCAAGCATTGCGATCCTCGCAGGGACGACAACTAAATGCTGAACATAAATTAAACACGAGCACAGCATGAGTATTCGATTCGGGCTCGTGGCAATCAACGGCTCGACATGCCTTAGGGTATGGGCTTGGCCCTTTAACAGAAAGAGGACAATCTCCTCCCGCGTAGTTCTCCAGTCTCTCCACTTGAAGAGAGCGAATGCTGGAGAGGTGGCGAGGGCTCTCGCCTCATCTCCAGCGTTCGCTCTGCGAAAGCGGCAAGAGTGGAGGGCTATGCGGGATCAGCTCGTCCACCACCATGCACCACTAGAAGGAGGCGTTGGCTTGTCCTGCTTCTCTTAACTTGCTACAGGATACGCTTCTTTTCCGAGTAGTCGTCGCCATCTTGAATCGTAGAACTTCGGGTATTGGGAAAAACATTGTTTTGCCCTCGCCGGGCAACCGGAAGGTGTTCACGCTTTTATTACTACTGTCAATCGTTTCTGTGGAAACCGGCCCACTCGTCACAAGACCACTCGTCACTGGAAAACCTGGCACACGACAACTGGTCACAGCGGCCTTCTGGATCTAGGTCATTTCGTCCTAGGAACACACGGCATATGTGACTTTTCGTCACAGGAACACAGGTCGCGAAGCCGTCTGTCTTTTCGAAGGAGCAGTTTCAACCTTGCTTTACACAAAAGAACTGGAACGCCTGGAATTCCTCCTGCCATTTGTCGACAAACAAAAGGAATTTAAATCCGACTTAGAAATAAGTTTAGAAAGTTCGTATTTGATAACACTATGTTCAGGAGAGTTTAGAACTAACGAACACTCAATGCACGGAACTTCGATGCTGTTGTACTAAACGGGAACGCGACAGAACAGCACACGACAAAACAGCACGCGACAAAACAGCACGGTCAAAACAGCACGCGTCAAAACAGCACATCGACAAAACAGCACGGCGAAAAAACAGCACGCGTCAAAATAGCACGCGACAAAACAGCACGGCGTCAAAACGGCACAGCGACAGAAGAGCACGTGCCAAAACAGCACGGCGTCAAAACAGCACAACGGCGTTTACATTTGGATATTATAACAAACACTGCGAAATTGAGCTCCGAATTTCGGAAAATTGAGAATGAAACAAAAATAATCTCCGATAAACTCCGCGGCAAAAAATAAACTCAGAAAAACACCCTCCGAGCTTGACGAAAACTAAACTCCGAAAACACGGAACCCTACTCATTACTGACAATATAACCACTTCCTTTCGCAGTTTTCAGCTTGTCTGCAAGATCGGTTCAACTTTCAACGAAAGCTCCGGGGGCGCAGGGGTCTTCAGGACGAAATCTGGGTTTTTCACCTGATAGGGTTTTGTGCTGAATTCTTAGTTAAAAGAAGAGAGTTTAATCGTGAAATCAAACAACGGAAATCAAGAGCGTACGTAAATGCCGCGCATTGTTTAACACCCCTAGCTTCCGTCTACTACAGGAGGACATAAATACGAGTGTTTTTTGTCATTCGTGCCGTCAGCGCGAATTTATCACCTCTCGCAGTCGTGAAAATGGGCGAAAACCCACCGAGTACAATGCTTGCTAATTTCTCCATTTTGATATTTGCCTCTCCAACCGAAGTGGTACTGAAGCTCATGGTTGTCGTGTGTACAAATGCGAGCACACGACGATAATGTCAGATCACGATAAGGCCCCAGTGCGTCTCACAGAACAGGTCGCGTCGGCTGCCAAAGACGGCAACAAACACCACCAGTGCCTGGTACTCAATATACATTTTGCACAAACGCTTTTAATTATTGCATTTTTGTTAGTATACTGGTTTTCGGCAATAAACCTAATATAACTGAGAAGTTTATGAGTCTACAAATATTCACCGCGATAAACCGAAAACTTTTGTTTGGAATAAAAACCGAAAAAAAGTGCGCGGAATTTTAAAAAAATACAAACCGAAAATGCCGAACACTAGTTATATTGTGAATGTCATGTTTTGACGCTGTACTGTTTTGATGCTGTGCTGTTTTGACGTCGTGCTGTTTTGACGCCGTGCTGTTTTGGCACGTGCTCTTCTGTGGCTGTGCCGTTTCGACGCTGTGCTGTTTTGTCGCGTGCTATTTTGACGCCTGCTGTTTTGTCGCCGTGCTGTTTCGACGCTATGCTGTTTTGACGCGTGCTGTTTTTGACCGTGCTGTTTCGTCGCGTGCGGTTATGTCGTGTGCTGTTCTGTCATGGTGCCGTACTAAACGTTTTCATGCCATTGCACCAAGAAATCTTGTACGGAGCTAGCATAAAATGCGGTTCTGGAATTTATTGGGTATACAGCGATACGAACTACTGCGAGACAACCGAAGGCAGCAGCTTCGGCTATGGACTCTCAGGATATTGGTCAACGCAGCCGAAGCGAAAGCTCGGGAGAACCTAATGGGGCACTTTTAATGAAGCACATTCTGGAAATGAGTAGCAAACTGACACAAGTTCTAGATCGAATGAATAACATCGAGAAGTCAATGGATGAACAGTCAGGAAAACATGACGCTGTAATGGTGAAGTTGACTAACCAAGAAAAAACAGTGGAAGGAATAGAACATTCTTTAGAAATAATGCGAAAAGACGATCATGAACTTCTGGAGAAGGTTAACATGCAGGAAAGAGAGTTAAAAGAGCTAAAGAAAAAAATCCACAGAACTTGAAAGACAATTCGCAAGAAATAAGTTGGAGATCCAGGAGCTCAAAACCGCAATAAACCCTTTTGAGCAATACTCCAGAAGGAATAATGTGGAAATTCATGGTATTACTAAAAAACATAACGAAACTCTTTTGGAAGTCGTCCAGCACTTGTCTGCTAAACTGCAGCAACTGTTTCTAACACCTGAAAGCATAGAAGCAGTCCACTGATTGGGCCAAAAAGGGGGTAAAATAGCACCCATCATTGTTCGTTTCAAAGACAAAACGATTAGGGACCTCTGCATCTCTAAAAGAAAACTGCTGAAAGATGAACACGTGTTCATTAATGAAAATCTGACCAAGTTTCTAAGACAACTTTTGTGGAAAACAAAGCTGTGTGCAAAGGAGAAGGAATAGAAGTTTGTGTGGGTTAGTAATGGAAAAATCTTTGTCCGTGAAAAAGAAAGCTCGGCTGAGATCCACGTGGAAAATGAACATGACTTCTCTAAACTGCGTGAAACATGGCGAATTCATATTCATCATTTGATGACTGGGACCCTAGTACCCAGAGCATGTTAGCAGATACAGACGGTGATAACTTGCTGCACATAAATGTCAGAAGTGTACAAAAGCACGGGGGCCAACTAAATGTATATTTACAAAATAGAGTAGCATGCTTGGATATATTCGTTTTAACGTAAGTAAATATTGACTCAACGTTTGCAAGTGCTTTCAATTTGACCGGACTTTAATCGTTTTCGGAGTGCAGGGAAGGAAGAAGTATATAGTATTTATAAAACATTCCTGGATGTCCGATCAACTGGCAGTTTCTTGTAACCACGCGGAGGTTTTGGTAATTTGTGTGTCAAAACGGTAGCTACTTTTTGTCATTTGTGCAGTGTATAGACCGCCCAGTGCAAATATACCTTGCTTTCTTGATGAATTAAATGAAATCTTTAAAAGTTCAGTAACAACAAATACATGGATGTTGCTGGCGATTCAAACATAGTGCTAAGCACGGCGTGTCTGATTACCTGAATTTATTAGCAGTTTTTAAAATTAGAAAATATAATTAATGAATATACTAGGGAAGAATACTTGTGATAGCGCATAACAAAGTCATATGTATTGACTATATCATTGTTACAGAAAGTAATCTTACGATGGTTTCAGGTGTAATTAGACAAAAAGTTGCTGATCATTATTTTATAGCTCTGGCAATAATAGTGGTGAGTCCTTAGGAAACCGAACGTATTCTCGATAACAATTAGATTGACAGAATGATAAGAGAAAATACCTTGCTTTTGATCATATTACTACTTGCCAGATGCTTGGGAATAATTTGAGGTCGATATACGAACAGTGGGAAAATCGTAAAACTGAGACAAAGAAATCCACAAAATGCCTGGATAAACGACAAAATCTTGACACTATGCCGTGAAAAAGATAGGTTGTGGAACACTTGTAAAGCAAGACCACATGATCTTATAATTAAGGGAAAGTTTAGAAAACTACGTAATAAGGTAACTGCCAAAATAAAACTGGCAAAAAATATCATTATACAGCTAAATTTCAACAATTCGAGGGAAACACGAAGAAAACTTGGGATTGGATAAAGGAAATTACGGGCAGTAGAAGGAAACAAAATCTAGTTGAAACAATTCAAAAAGCTTTTGGTAGTAACAATCTCACTTCTTTATGCAACCGATTTAACGATTTTTTTTCTCAAAAGATTGCGGATCTGAGAAAAGTACTACAACATCAAGAAGAAGAATCAAATAGCTATGAGAGTAGTGTGTACTCAGTTTACTTGCCTCATATGATAGAGATATATCTTAGATGCATAATAAACAACATGAAAGCGTCAAAACCTTCGGGGAATGATTCCATTCGATTAACAGACATTCAGACAAATTTGAGGTATTAAAAGACGTTCTAATCAAAATAATAAACGAATCACTCTCGTCAGGGAAAGTTTCAATAGATTTAAAACCAGCTGTTGTGAGACCATTATATAAAAATGGCAGTAAAAATAGATTATGCATTATAAACCCATTTCAATAT